AGCGGGGGAAAGTGTATTTCGACGGTTCCTCAATGCGCTGTTGCATCAGACCAATGCTTTACAGAATGATTCTTCTTCTTCATTGAAAGAGCCATTTGTGCGGGCACAGGGGCACGCTTTCTGCACTTCGGTTCTGAGGTCACTGGCATGTCTTTTGAGTGACATCATCATTCATGAAATATACTACTGCACAGGGACTCTTACGAAAGAAGTAGAGGAAAGGAAACAGGATGCGCTTTCGCTGTCAACTCCTTTTGGTGACAATAGTTCATTTCCGGCGCATAATCTTTTGACAAGTTTTTGGACGGGTTTTGCATTTCTTCTAGATTCCAACACGTGGCAGGCAGCGTGTGATTTGCTGGCGGTCTTTCATCGTTATGGGTGCGCGGAGTTTCTTGGCACAATTTCTTCCCCTCCCTTCTCGTCGCTATACTCGTTGGGTTTAAACATCGCACCGGACTTGGCGGCTGTGCAACTTGTTTTTTTGCATCAGGGCAAAGAATTAACGACGAGTAGGAACGTTTGGAGACATGCGGCATTCTCAGCAGAGGAGGATCACAGCTTGGATCACGCAGTGGATGTCGTTTTGAACTATCTCAATGAGTATGCGGGCGAGAAGGAGGAACCTGCGGTGTTTTTGGCTTTTACGGAATTGTTGCTTTTGTGTGACTGGAAATCTCTCGATTATGAAAAGTGTGCGCCGAAGTTTACTGCATTCACCAAAACGGAGGCCTTTGGTGACCCGCAGTGCCAACAGTATCGGGTGTTATCCACCCAAAGGGATGCATGCCCGCCGCGATCTTCCGTGTTTCGTCCATTCGCGAGCTATGTATGCTACTTTGCAGAGTCGTGGAAGCGGGGCCTTCTTTTGCTTTCACCTGGTTCTGAGAGGACCTCCGAGGGGTTGTCGTCACGCATCATGTTTGTACTTGGGGAATTCTTTCAAATTGCACTAAAGGTCTTTGGCGTCTCTTCCGTTGATGTTTTGCTGCGTCGAGTCATTGGAGGGAATGCTTGGAAAAGAGGTTCTGTGGGAATGACCTCGTCGTGCTCAAAGAGCCACCACACGGATCTTTGTTCACTACACAGCTGCGTCGACCTTGCAAGAGAAAGCCATAAATTAACTGAGGAGCACGTGTCATTGTTTCAGCACAAGTTTGAAACAATTGTGGTTGCGCCGCTTATTTTTCTGTTTCAGTCGCCGGAGACACCATTGCCGCTGTGGAGCAAGATTCTTGCCCTGGTGGCAGCGCTGCTTCGGTACCATGAGCAGAATCATGGATTTGTGACTGATCAACTGCTAAAGTTTCTGCCAGATATTGAGCGAGGGTTGGGAGTTGGTACGGCATACAATTCATTTACTGATGAGACACCGCTTAACGATCGGCTGGTGGTGCTCGTCCTTGCGGATGAGGTGTCGTCCAAGGTGAAAAGTCTACGATTGGCAGCGTGGACGAAGATACCGTGTCCGTCTCCGTTTGACTCCGGTAACGGTGTGTCCCTCCTGGCGTCCCTTTTGGATAACCACTCGGTTCTCAAGACGCTTGTGGACAAGCTTGCCAATGACCCTTTTTCCGCCCAGTCCATAGCAAACGTTGGAAAGAATGCTCCAACGGAATTTGTGGGGGACCGCACCACGTCTACCGTATCATCTCGTACGGAAGAGTGGGAACTGAGGCATGTGCAGAATGTCTCGAAGTGGTCGCACGAGGGATCGGATTCTGAAGATGTGAAGGCATTTCACCCCATGGCGACGCCCAGGCCAGCCGCTAACCATCCTGATGAAGGTGATTTATCCAGCCTTATCATCCAACGTGTGCAGAGCCACTCAACGGTATCCACGTCACATCGCTTTGGAGGCTACGTTTACGAAACTTTAACTGGAGCGAACGATGTCGTGCAATTGACCGGCCAGTTACCTCTTGAATATTACAGCGTTGCACCCAAAGGAACGCCCTCCACATCTCCTGTCGCTGCTGCGGAAAGGGCCATGGACCCTGAGCAGCCATCTACCACTGCGGAGAAGACTCTTTCCAAGAATGGTTTTGTACCCCCAGGTATTACTATGATGTTGGCGTCAAGTACCAGCACTACTGCTGTAACATCTTTGAGCAATTCGGCCGAAAATTCTTCTGCAAGTAGCGACGACGATTCTGCAGCTTCTTTTACGTAAATATTTGGCTGCTTCCTTAGGTAGGCACAAAGAATTGCGGTGAAACTGATCCCCATTTTATTTCACCACCCAATTTGAATCTCATGTTTTTTTTCTTTTTTTTTTTTTTCTCTTTGCGCCAGTTTATTTGTATATTTCCCTATGAAACGAAGCGGAGAAATTTATGTGTGGGTGCGTGGGCAAAATAAAATGCGGTGTTTCTGTTGCTGTCACTGTTGGCGTTGTTGTTGTTTTCATTAGCACTTGGCGCTTTCCGTCTTTTTTACTTCATTTTTTGTTGGCGTAAAATTCATCATTTTTGGTTGTTTTTTTTTTTTTTTTTTGTTTGTTTGAGAAGGGCAACCGATATTTTTTGTGGCTGCATTTTGGAAGGTTTTTTTTTTTTTTTTTGCGGTACTCTGTAAATGTATATCTCTGTCTGTGTGTGTGTGTGTGTGTTTGTGTGTATTTTTTTTTTTGCTGGTGGTTTATATGAAGGGTGTCATACGTTGAAAATTAAATCGAACAGCCAAAAACATGGATGATGGATACTTTTTGCTCCTCCAGGGATTTTTTTTTTTTTTTTTTTTTCTAGAGGCCTTTATTTAATATTGAGTTACTGTGATGTTTCATCCATTTGAGAGGGTGTGGATGCTTCTGAGAGTGTCTTTATCACCTGTATTCTTGTTGATGTTATTTTGCTTCCCCTACATCTCGGTTTATTTCTCTGAAATATATATATATATATACATATACATACATATGTATGGTGGGCAAAAATAAAAAGTGAAATTAGTCCTAAATTGCATATTGTATTTAGGTATTCCTATAAATACCTCAATACAAGGATATATATATATATATAGTCACAGCGGGACAGCCCTGCGTTTGTTTTTAACTTTTTTTTTTTTTGTGAGGGATTACTTTTGGAACGTTCTTATAAGAGTGAGCGCAAGGATAAATTAGTAGAGAAGGGGGTAGAGGAGTTAATAGTTAATTGAGGCGCATTCCGAGGGAGGAGGAGCCTCGGCGTTCTCTACGGACGCACAAGTGAAGGGAAATGGCGGCTGGCGGGGTGTTACAACCACTCTCCCTTAGGTCCGTAGGGGTGCGATGGCTCGCGTTACTTTGTTCCATTTGCGCTTTTTTGGCATCCGTGACCGTTGCTTACTGTATGGCAGTGAGGTTTGGCTCTATAACGGCACTTTTTACTTTGGCGTTTTTTTGGTTTATCGGTGCCCTTAATTTGCTGAAATTTCTTTTCCGATTAGTGGTCGTGACGCGAGGTGAGACGGACTACCAGGACATGTTGCGGCGAGCGGATGTTATGCATCAGCCAAATGTGCAAAAATTATCTGGGTCTAAAGAAAATGCCTGGCTATCTTATGGGTTTAGCTGCATGCAAGGATGGCGTAGAAGCATGGAAGATGATCATGTAGTGCTGCTTGATGACGATGGAGGGTTTTTTGGTGTCTTTGACGGCCATAGTGGATCAAATGTCGCAAGGTTTTGTGCCGGAAACCTCTTTGATTTTGTATCAAAGACTGCGGCATTTGATGAGGGGAACTACGCAAAGGCTCTGTATGACGGTTTTCTTGCCATCGATAAACATTTGTATGCCAACTACTCGAATGAGAGGAGTGGCTGCGCGGCAATTGTCCTTTTCATTAAGGAAGATGACTTGTATTGCGGTAACGCTGGGGATAGTCGCTGTGTTTTGTGTCGTGACGGGGAGCCACTGCCCCTCAGTAATGACCACAAGCCATTTCTTCCAACCGAGTTATCAAGGATAGAAAGGGCAGGGGGATATGTATGGAACCGCCGCGTCAATGGAGCTCTTGCACTTAGCCGAGCCATTGGAGACTTTGTCTTTAAGTGCAACATGCAGGTGTCATGGGATCAGCAGGCCGTCACGAGTGCTCCAGAGGTGCGATTTATTCGTTTGAATCGCGACCATGACGAGTTTGCCGTCATCGCCTGTGACGGTATATGGGATGTGCTAAACAATGATCAAGTAGTAGAATTTGTGCGTCACCGCATTCAGTCCCGTATTCCTCTGGAGAAGATAGCGGAAGAACTTCTCGAGCGGTGTCTCTCCCCACGACCGTTTGGTGTCGGATGCGATAACATGTCAGTTGTGATTCTTCAATTTAAACGACCAAACTCCTTTCCGTCCACGTCACAGACAGTAGAGAAGACAAAAACCAATGATATTGGCAACAACACCGCAAAGGATGGCACCAGAACTGCTTGATGAGCATCTGCACACAGGAGAGAGGGAGAGAGAGAGGGGAGGAAAAAAGAAAAATGATTGGGTCATAACAATTTGGGCGACAGTACTAAATCCGAGAGGGGATGATGTCTGTTATGATGGGGCGCGGTATATTTTTTGCCTGGCTGTCGTCCTTGTTGTTGTTATTACCGCGTCCTGCTTACTATCGTGAGACCTGTTTGTTTGCAAATGGAATTTTTGTTCTTGGATGAGAATGGAAATAAAACCTCGTGTATGTTTCCCCCTTTCCTTTGCAAGAATTGTGGAGTTCGTTTTTCTTCTTCTTCTTCTTCTTTCTGTTTTCTGTGTGTTTTTCTTTTTATTTGGTTCTCTGAAACGTGCGCAGAGAGCGAAGACGAGGTGAATCCGTTGTGACTGTATCTCAAAGCAGCACCCGGGTTGGGGTACGCAAAGAGAAGAAAAAGAATAAACGCGGGGAAGGGGGTGGAGAAGAAAAAAGAGGGGGGGAAAAAAAGATATATGAACAACAGCAACAAAATTACTGTTGTATTTTTGTTTTGCTGAAGTTGCACGTGTCAACTCTTGCAATGCGTCACAGGCACAACCGCCGATTCTGCTGCTGCTGCTGCTGCTCAGTCTGAAAGGCAGAAAAGGCGTATGGACGTGTAGTTTTATGTGTTTTCATGTTTGTTTGTTTTTATTATTCTCCTTGTCGTGATTGTGCGTGCGTGCGTTGTTGTTGTTGTTGTTGTTGGTGGTGGTGGTGGTGGTGGTGGTGGTGGTGGTGGTGGTGGTGGTGGTGGTGGTGGTGGTGGTGGTGGTGGGAGTGGGAGTGGGTGATACCGTCCTCGAGCTAATTGCCACCCGCTTCTCTGTATTTTTCTTTTTTTTCTCTATTTCTTCCACTCCTTGTGTTTTTTCTGAGCGTCGCTGCACGTACGAGCGGGTAAAAACTCCTTGCAGGGGACGAATGCGAAATTGTCGGCAATAAATTGGCGTGTATCTGCCTTCTCAGGCAGTGAGGGGCGTCTCTCTCTCTTTTTCTCTGTTTTGTGTGTTGTGTTGTGTTGTCGTGCTGCTGTCGGGGCGGGTGTGTGTGTGGTGGGGGTGGCGGCAGCAGAACGGAAGAAGTAGCCCGTTACCCTTTTAAAAGAAAACACACACGCGTGAACACAAAAGACAAATAAATAAATTGTATCAAAGGAAAAGCCAAAGAAGAAAAAAACAACAAACAAACAAAAACAAAAACAAAATAAAACTGGTGATCTTCACGTGGATCTCAATTGGCCTCAAAAGGGATGTTTCAAATGGGGTAATGGAGTGGTTTTGCTCCTGTTGAATGCAGTCGCGCCGGGGTGGAGCCTCAGGCGGGAGAGTAGAGAAAAATAGATGGATGTTTAAAAAAGATGTTTTCTGCATGTTTTTGTTGGAATGGAAGGGGCGTTTTTTAAATTTATTTTTATTTTATTTTTGTTTATTAGGTGTGTTTATGTGTGTCTTTGTGGATGAAATAAAATTTCCCGCAACATTTCTTATTATTATTATTTTTTTTTTTCTTTTTTTGGCTTTATATATGTATATATATATATATATATATACATCTTGTTTTTTTTCTGACGCACAAACAAATGGAGAGAGAGGAAGTAAGAACGTGTGTGTTTGTGTGCGTGTGTGCGTGTGCGTGTGTGTGTGTCAGGGTGTTCATGTGCAGTGGAGTCTCTTTTCACTGTGAATAGGGAAAAGGGGAGCTCGCTGCACGCACGATATTTCATCATCAAAGGAAGAAGGAGAAAACAAACAAACAAAAAAACAAAAGAAAAATTATGACGGACTTTCTAGCGGGATGGATGGGTGGTATCGCCGTGCTTCTCGTTGGACACCCCTTTGACACAATTAAGGTTTGGCAGCAGAGTAGGCATGCAGTCGACGTAGCCCTCTCCATTCCAGCTCCTAGAGGAAGTAGTTTTACGGCGGCCATGGAGTTGTACCGCAGTAATGGCGTGCGTGCATTCTACAAGGGGTTGTGTGCGCCGATGTGTGCGGTGGGATTTGCAAATAGCGCCTTATTTGGGACGTATGGCGTCATTGTGAATTTTTTTATTCGCAATGAGTCATCTCAGTATTATTACGACGATGATCACCACGTCACTGTGATGTACACGAGTCGTCAAACAAATGGAAACCATGCTTCTGGCAACACGTACCAAAAGCAGGATCTTTCAGAGCACTTCCGCACAGGAGGAGGACTTTCCGCTTTTGAAAACTTTATAGCCTCCACAGGCGGTGGCGTAGCGCATGCAACCATTATGAATCCATTTGAACTTGTCAAGATACGTCTGCAGACGGAGCATTTGTTTCCCCACCGTCGGTATCTTGGTACTGTGCACTGCGTCCGGCGACTGTACGAAAATGGAGGAATAAAATATTTTTTTAAAGGGTTTAGCGCAACTCTAATACGTGATATTCCTGGGGCTGGAGTATATCTTTTTAGTTACTCCTCTCTCATTCAGTTACTTGGAAGCGAGAAAAATTACAGCATTCCACATATTCTCATTGCGGGTGGTTGTGCTGGACTGGCGCAATGGATTGTGATTTTTCCTCTTGACACTATCAAGACGAGAATGCAGGTCGCCAAGCAAGGCGAAATGCTGGGATGGACGCGATGCGCAAGGCAGCTTTACAAGATCCATGGGTTTACCGGCCTTTACCGAGGAATGGCACCGGCTCTTGTGCGTGCATTTGCAGCAAATGGGGCGGCATTTGCCGGTGTGGAGGCGACACTGCAGTTTTTCCGTACCACAGGATTAGAGGACATTGAGGTCTGTGACTCCTAAGCATGGATTGCACAGGAATGTTCCTCAACAAAGCAACCCAGAGAAGGTACATATTTACAGAAATATATATTCAATTTTGCATGCCAGTATGCATATGGCTGGCCTTTTCTTTTTTTCTTATTATTATTTTTTTTTTTTTGGAATTCATGATGTGTGCGTTTGTGTGTGCATGTGTGTGTTTATCTGCCGGACGTCTTTTCACGGCGTCTTAATGACAGTAGTATTTATCTCTGCATGCGCTTTGAACCTTCTTGATGTAGAGTATAGCATAGAGAAACAACATTTTTTTTTTTTCCTTCTTAAAAAAAAAAAAAAAACTCATTATGGCCGATCCCTTCTACGATGCCCGTAACGCCCTTGCGATCGGCAATTATCACCAGGCTCTCGCGGAGGCAAGCGGAGCCAAAACGACACTTCGAAAACCCGACGATTTGGCCATCTTTAATACAGAGCGGGAGGCCCTTCTATCTCTTGCTCAAATTGGGCTGGGTCAAGGGGAATCTGTCGTAACGCAGTTAGCCTCCGCGTCTCATCCTACGTTACTGGCAGTGAAAAACTGGGCGCAGTTTTCTTTGGCCATAAAAAATAAATTGCCTGATGGAGCCCTCAATCAAACTGCGGCTTCGGCGCTAACACGGTTAACTGAAGCGGCAGAAGAAGTGAATCCTTCACGCATTCAGGGGGCGGTGCTCGCTGCTTCTGCGCTTCTTGCTTCTGGTGATAATGCCGGGGCAATAAGTTTGGCCAAAAGGTGGATAGGTGAACTTCCAACACCGGAGGGTGCTTCCAACATACGTCAACAAATGGAACTGCGAGCTGTTGTTGTCGAGGCACTTCTCCGTATGCGACGTTCAGAAATGGCTAGAAATGAAGTAAAAAGCATGGAGCAGCTGGACGATGAGTCTGTGCTTACAGTATTGTGCTCAGGTATAGTGAGCCTTCACGAGGGCATCAAGTCTCGCGATGCCTATGAGAGAGCCATTCAGCGCTTTAAGGAGCTTTCCATGCGTTGTGGTCAGAGTGTGCTAGTACATAATTTAATGGCGTTAGCACAAATGGAGCTTGGCGATTTCACGTCGGCAGAGCGTAGTCTTCTCGATGCCTTGGCTATGAGATCAAATGATGTCGATACGACGGCGAATCTGGCGGTTGTTTCTTCGTATCTTGGAAAAGCAGCAGACTCCACGAACCGTTACACCCAGCAAGCGGTTGCCATCGCTGGGACATGGAGTCATCAATACGCCGCCATGAATGCACGCCTGGAAGAGGCTGTCTTGCAGTTTTCAAAGACGGCGTAGTTAGCAAACAATCATGAAGAATAAACCTTTAGGATGTGCGTTGAAATAGTAAGACTACTACACTGTCTTTTTTATTGCATTAAGTGAGAGGGAGAGAGCGAGAGAGATGGAGTTGTCGCCACTTCACCTTGTCAAGCTCAATCTTTGGAAAGAAGGTGGAGGTGGGAAATCAATGAATGAATGCTAGTAACGCATGGAGTTCCCATGTCGTTTGGATATAATTGTTTCGCATTTCTATGTTTTTTTTGTTTTTTTTTTTTTTGTTTTCTGCGTGGGGATGAAAAGAATTTTTGGACTAGGGAAAGAAGGAGTCGAAAGGGTCTTTCCTTGCCATGATGCAGCACGGGGTGCGCTGGAAGGCCGCAGCAAATCTTGAATTGTTGCTGGGATCGGAGCATCCGCCCGCCCGTATTGTTCGGGACGTTACAAACGCCTCGGCAAATATTGATGGTGCGGCTGTGGATGCAAGAAACACGGTGAATTTTAAGAACACGCTCTACTGCAATCGACAGGACGCTGGCTACGTTGGCACATGGCAGCGCCTGGCTGAATACTACCGGTTCATGTTTTCGAAAATCCCTCTCTGGGAAAAGAGTGACCAGCACGGTGAGACAAAGAAGGAAACGACGGAGGCTTTCGTGGTGAAAAACGAGGAAGAGGGAGATGGTGAGATGCCTACGCCTCACGAGAACGTTTTGCCGCCGACTTATCGAGCGGTAGGCGTTCTTACGCAGACGAGCAACCCGGGCGATATTGGAGGGGACCTCCTCCTTCCATGGGAGTTTTATCCGGTGACAGACATTAACGATGAGGATGCCTATGCTGAGTGCATCAAGGCCCTTTTGAGAGAAGCCCCAGTGGTCAATGGATTACTTCATATTGGGGCCGAGGAAGAAGACGAACTGGGGGCGGCAGGAGCCACGATGGCAGCTTCGGAACTTAAATGCTTACAGCCGAAGTGACGGGAGGCTTTCGATTTACACACGTCTGGTTCCTCAGTTTAGTGGCATCTACCCAGGGATGGCCGTTGGAATTCTCGGCGACCCCTTCAAGCGTAGCTCGTCCGGCGTGTTGACTGGTGTTTTGGTGCGTCAATTTATTTTGCCCTCCCGTCCTACTTTCCCATGGAATATGCAAATGCCGCTGCCAACTCCATCCGCTTCAAAAACCATTCCTACACGAGTTCATTTTTGTAGTGGACCCTTTCCGAGACATGAAATTGTCTCCATTTTAAACGCAGTCACCCAAAATGCTCTTGCACGTGGGGCCGATTTGCTCATCATTGGCGGTCCCCTCGTGAAGGAATTTGAAGAGTTTGAGAAGGAGCTTTTGACGACGTTGCAGCGAACGTTTGACGAGCTTTTAGGGGCGTACATGGATGGAATTGAAGACACGATATCGAACTACTATGCTGTAAACAGTAACCCAGCAACGAAACATCGTTTGAAGGTGGTGTTGATCTCACACAGAGATGATGTGACTCAGATACCAGCTCTCCCGACGACCATGTATGGCGTCCAGGACGGAAGGGATGTTTGGGTCCGCTCAAATCCTTGTCGCATCTCCGTCAATGGTATTCACTTTGGAGTGTGCAACGAAGATGTGGTGGGAAAAATGCGTGATAAAATGGTGGAGCGGTGGCCGACCGAGGCAGGTAGTCTTCGTCGTGTCGTTGAGGCGCTCGTTCAGAGTCGCTTGTACGCCCCCATTTATGGGCTGCCCGCGGTAATGCACGAGCTGAAACATTTTCAGGCGCTTCGTATGGAGTACCTACCGGAGGTGAGCAATGAAGAAGTCAGCAACAACAACGAAGATAAGGACGACGCGAATCTTACAAACGGCAAACCGGCAACTTCCCTGACGTGGGACAGTCTTTTTTCTATCTACTCAGCGGAAAGCGAGGCGCCGGACGAAGTGAAGACTGAAGCGAAACGTGTCAAGATGGAAACACAAGATTCTTCTGTCCCGTTAAAGAATGGGTTAAACAGTGAGAAAACAGTAGAGTGGATGCCTCATGTCATGTTTCTACCCTCAACACGGCCGCGTTTTGTTGTCGTGACACACCGCAGCGTATTTGATGGAGCGAAGGGTGCGCGGCGTGATGAGTCGGAGCTGGACGATGTTTCCACCGCGTCAGGTGTCCTGGTGGTGAACCAAGAAATTTGGAGTAAACGTTCTGCACCGAAGTTTGAACTGCGCGTTGCGGAGGTGACAATACCCGACAGCGGACTAGTAATGCGCCGTGGTGCATCCGAGGCGAACGGAGTTTCATGTGGTCTGATTCATTTTGTCAACAACGCGGTTAACAGTTGAACTGGGCTAGCAGGATGGGTGGTGGCGGTGGTGACATTTTGATAGAGGGGCCCGCAAGGGGTTTCAGTCGTAAATGCATTTATCTATTAACCTGTTATGAGTTTTGTTTTTTCCCCTTAATTGCTTTATTATCAGTTGAGCAGCACTCGTAAATATTTGTGTGTTCCTTTGCTATGTCTCTTTCTCTCTTCATGTGTGCGTCTGTTTGATACAGGCAGTCAAATTTTTTTTTTTTTTTATTTCCTCTTAGTTTCTTTTTCTTTTTTGTTTGGTGTCATGGCGCGCGGCGTACATCTTGACAGGCTCGCGAAAAGTGCGCACGTACACGACTGGGTGGGAACGGCAGACGCAAACTTCTTCTAATTGCCGCCCGTTGCCGTTCACACCGTGGCACGCTGGCGGCAGTCGAAAGGAGTGAGATGTAAATCCTTTCGGCCGCGGACGTAATTTTTTTTTTCTTTTTTTTTTTTTCTTCTCTCTCTATTTTTCTATTCTTCCCGTGTCCTTTTTTTTTTTTTTTTTTCTTTCACTTTTCCTACTCGTCCCCTTCGACTGTCCGCCGTTCTCTCTCGTTTCTGCCACTGCGCCTGGAGTTCAAGGAAGCAAGACGGTATTAAATTGACAAGAGCGAAGAAAACATTAGGCTTGACGCGGGCCCGTAGGAATTTAATAAGTGGATTTGGCAACACGCTCACAAAATAGGAAGAAAGAAAGAAAAGAGGAAACGCGAAGAAAACACGTTTTATATTGAAAGAAGAGTAAAATTAATATTCCAAAAAAAAAAAAAAAAAAAAAAAGCAGGAGAGAATTATGGCGGAGGGAACTGCAGCCGCTGCGGGGGCATTGAGTGAGCTTTTTATTGACGAAGACAAGGTCCACAGATCGCTGATTCCAGACGATGTGGTGATCCGCGATTACCTCAGCTGCATTAACGACGACACATGGGTGCGACATGCCGAGCTGGTGCAGCTTTCAGACCTGAAGGAAACACCGCACGAGGAGCTGGTGAAGAAGGAGGTCCTCCGCACATTTATTGAGGAGCGACGTAGAAGCGGGCTGGAGGTGCCAAGGGATCTCATCATGGAGGGCATAATTTGGCAAGAACGGTTTATGGAAGAGTATAAAAGGGAACAGCGTTCACAAGACAATAAGGAAGCATCAAACTACAAGCAATCTCTAATGTCAAAGTTTCGGACGAAGCGAACTGGTGTGAGTGGCGTCACCGACTCCACTTCAAGAGGAACAAGAGCCATTGAGTACAAGGAGGCGCAAGCCTCTGCGCCAGAATACCCAACGGAGAATACGGATGCAAGGGATACGTATCATGAGCTTCCTCATGGAAATGCATCGGCGGCACAACAGGATCCAAATAACGACGTGCCCAAGAAGGAAGAGGAGGAAAAAATTGAACCTGCAGCAGCTAGTGAATTTGACCACGAAATAGACATCGCCGCAGAACCGTGCCCTGTGGAAGATCACACTGAACCTGAGCAACAGGCGGATGAGGCTCTTCAGCAGGGCCATTCTGGCGAGAGCAAAAATGAATATCCGACCGAAGATGAATTCCCAGCTGGGCAGCAATCGGCTGTGGCTGAACCGGCGGTTCAGGCTGCTGTACCCGGTGATGTGACGCAGGCCGCTGCTGAATACCCATCTGAGGAGGGGATTTCAGCCGAGAAGCCGAACCATGAGGGGGAGGCAACGGCGCCTGACACTGAGGCTCCCGATGGCACGGAGTATCCGGTTGAAGATGCCAAAACTCCGCCCAACGAGCCGGCGGCGGATCTGGCAGACCAGCCAGCTACCGATGCGAATGCTGATACAAACGCGGAAGAAATGTGAATGTATAATATATAATAGAAACGGTTTTTTTTTTTTTTTTTTTTGCAACAAGGAAAAAAAGGAAAAGGTGGAGATGAAAATGGAAGAAAAAAAAAGAAAAAGGACAATCTATACGGACAGTACAGAGCGAGGAAAGGAAAGTTCTGTCGATATGAGGACGTGAATAGGTTTTAAAATAACACTTCGCTTTTTTTTTTTTATATATGGGTTTATTTCCGTAAACTGGCTTATATAAATGTCACGTTTGCAGCCTCCATATGTATTACATGTTCCCTATACACTGCTCTCACAATACACCGAATCAATTGCTGCCAATACTTTTTTTCATTGCCTATTAGGTTCGCTTATTCCAGGGAACAAACGTGCGTTAAAACTGATGGTCGTTGGCTTATTTGGCTGTGCGTCTTTAATATGTCTATATTTATTGTTGCAGTTTTTTTTTTTTTTTTCCTTTTATTCTTTTTGAGTGAGTGTGAAAAGGGAGGTTTGGCGACTTTGAATACCACATGTATACACGCTCAAAAAAAAATTTTTTTCTTTTTTTTTTTTCTAGTATGTTGCGAATGTATAATAGGGAACGGAGCAGTGGATCTCCACCATGTTGACAACTTTACACCTTTGAAAACGATTTTTATTTTTGGTTGTTGTTCTTGACGGATTTATGCATTGTTTTTTTTTTTTATATCTCTTTTTTATTTCTTTTGTTTTTGCGTGTGTTTTTTTTTTTTTTTTTTTTACTGAGATATGATGATTACTGCAATGCCAAATTTAGATATTCTTACGGAATTGAAGTATTTATGAGTCCCGTTATTGCGCTTCACGAGGACCTTCAGAAAAGACTTGAGGAATACCGCAGTACGCGTGGATTCAGCCCCGTCAAATGGATTGAGCACAAGTGTGCCGCACTGAACGAGTACATGGCTTCCCATGGGCTTAAGGTGTGTGTTACAAGTGTTTCTGGTGGAATTGACTCTGCAGTGGTGCTGGCACTTTGTTCAAGAGCGATGCGGATGCCTAACAGTCCTATTGTGAGGAATGTTGGCATATGTCAGCCAATCTGCAGCAGCGCGTGGGCCCTTGCGCGAGGGCGGGAGAACATTCAGTCTTGTGGCGCACTGGAAGTCATTGTCGACCAGACAGAGCTTCACAAACAGTTGTCAAGGATTGTTGAGACGGCGGTGGGGATAGACGGTCAGAACTTTGCCAGAGGACAGTTACGAAGTTACATGCGCACTCCAGTGGCGTACTACGTGGCGCAGCTGTATAGCCAAGAAGGGAATGCGGCCATTGTCATGGGTACAGGGAATATGGACGAGGATGGCTACTTGGCTTACTTTTGCAAAGCAGGCGACGGTGTTGTCGATGTGCAGCTTATCTCTGACCTACACAAGAGTGAGGTGTTTTTGGTGGCACAGGAGCTCGGTGTGCCGGCGAACACTTTACAGGCTTCTCCCTCCGCCGACCTGTGGGAGGGTCAGACGGACGAGGAAGAACTTGGATTCCCATACGATTTTGTGGAGCTCTACACGGGGTGGTGCCTGCAGTTGAGTGATGAAGAGCGACAGTCATTTCTGCACTCGCTCTCTTCAGATGCTCGTCAACAGTACGAGAAATATAAGGATGCATGTGAGAATACACATCGTCGCAACGCACATAAACTCCGGGGCCCCATCAACTTGTAACCAACTTTTTTTTTTTAAAGAAACCCAAAAAGAAAAAAAAGAAAAAAAATACAGAAAAACAAAAGGAGAAGGAAAATGCCATATATTTCTATTTTGATTTATGTGATGAGGAGCTTTGGTATTCTACTGGCATAATATGTTTCCTTTTGGTTTTCTTCTTCTTTATTGTGGGGATACCGATTCTATCCCTACACAAATATTTTGAATCCTTTCCTTTCTTACGGTTTGTGCACTTATATTTTCTTATGCATGCATCCTTTCCTTTATCTATATATATATAGATAGATAGATATTGCTTACCTCTGTTTTTATTGCGGTTTTTGACTTTTGTTGCCGTTAGTTCAGGCCTTTTCGGTTGGCAATGCGAGAGTTATTGGGCAACTCCGATACGGAAGGGTTGCTGGCCATGGAGCACCGTCAGGGGAAACCCCTACGGGCTCTGAAAACGACGAGTGACGATGAAGACGATGCCGCATTTAAGACATGCATGAGCGGAGGAACGGAGGATGCCTTTGGATCTCAGACCAGCAGTCGCCGGAAGATATTTAAGAGGTTGAACCTGGACGCTTTCTACAATGGTGCGCAGTTTCGTGCGGGGGGTGAAACCACAGAACGTACGGGTGGGAGGAGTGAACGAAGAAAGAATGTGCGTGGACTTCTCAATATGATCTACGGCGAGCAAGAAATGGGTGCTTTACAGCAAAGGCATAGACGTCCAATGGATAGTGACATTAACTCCGCCACGACAAATACAGTGGATGCTGCAGCACCCGTTGTTGCCGTTTCTCCAGGAACACCTCTTAAGAAACGCAAAGAGAAACACGAGGCAGGGGAGTGGGTATCTGCGCGTCACACGGCTTTGGAGGAATTGCGGCTGGAGTTGGACAAGCGACTGCGCACGGATGCGCACTTCCGACCCGAGCTGCGAGAGGTTGCGAAGGAGAAAGAGGAACACATAGAACAAGCAATAGAAGAAGAAGAAGAGGAGGAAGGTCATCAGCGGAACGTGAGCGTGATGACTGGAGAGCGGCGACGCTTCAGTGATTCTATTGATTCATCCCGAGGTCTAGAGATGAGTCCTGCAGTCATTTCGGACCGTGCTGAACCCGGGAGGATGAATGAATCAGCCATAGATCTTTCTGATATTCATGACATCCCCGACGGGCGATCGATGGAGGTGATGCGGCGGGCGGAAGAACGATCAATAGAGAGAAAACAGAGAGCGGAGACGGAATTTCGGAATAGGGAGCTCTTAGAGTGCACGTTCCACCCACAAGTCGCCCCAAACTCCGCCGTTCTCTTTCAAAAAATGGCGCTTGGGAAGGGCAATGTATTTGGCCGATTGTATCCACAAGAGCTACGGGATCAGGCGGCTAAGGCACGTGATGCTCAGATGCGAGAAGAGCTGGAGTCCCTTGAAAGGTATGAAATAGAATTTCTTCGTGAACGCTGCGGTGGGTTAACAGCCGCATGCCCAGCTGAAGACAACTTTGGGTTGTTCCTAAGCAACGTGCTTGGGAGAAGTGTGGTCCACGGAGCTGTTTCTATAAAAACGGATTACAAATCGCCACTGGCCCAAAAGATGCACGCTGATGCTTCCATTGGTGATTCAGATGGATCTGGGATGGTAAAGAAGACTACTCGCGAAGAACGCCGATACCGTATTGCGTGCTTTGACGAGTTTCTTCAACGTCAAAACGAGCACAAAAGGAGTAGGTCTCGTAGTGTGCGGAATATGGAAAAGGCACTGACACCATCCTTCAAACCTGAGATTAGTGTGCACAGCGTGCAAATTGCGAAGGAATTAATGGCCCGTAGTTCAACCACTCCGTCGGGTTCCAATAATGCATCAGCGCTGGCTTCAGCTGTGAAAAAGCACCGCTCTCCATACGTGGATCCATGCACTTTTAAGCCGAGGATTACTGCAGTTTCCCGTGCCATGGAACCACGGGGCGTGGAATCCATGGCGAACGATGGTGTGCGTCTACGTGAATGGAGGAAAAGACAGCAGGAAAGAGCAGCAAAAGAAGAAATCAAGTATCCATTTCGTCCCACTCTTAATGATGCTCACAATAAGCGTATCGAGTCACTGTTGACATTAAAGAATTACTCACGCTACGAGCAGGGTTTGCGACGGCGGAAAGAGCAGATGGCGAGAATGAAAGAGGAGCAGGATGCCATAAAAGAAAATGAAGAGGTGGAGCGAAGCACGTTTTGTCCCAAAACAACCCGTAAACCGGAGTATGTAACAAGAATGGCTTCCAGCTTTGCTCTCGTCCGGCAGCAGTATGGAGAACTGTGACAGGCTTGAGAGGATGGTGTTTCTGTGCGTGCAAAAACGTGGGTATGATTGGAGTGGTTGAAATGACGGACCAGACTTTAACTTCTGCCGTCGTATTCAAGTGTTTTTTTTTTTTTTTTTTTTTGGTGTTTGCCGTTGTCTACATGGCTGCTCGTAAGATTTCTTTCAGCTTTACTTTTTTTTTTCCCATTTGAAACTTTTTTCTTTATTTTCTCTGTGTTGCGTATTAGTTTAGAGGACGCGGGTGGAAGGTAGAGGGGCATCGTATTTTTGTTTGATTTGTTAGGGCTCTGGGAAAGGTGGTCAAAATTAGAAAAACCGATTTTTTTTGCTTCTGTTTCTGTTTTTTCCCCCTCAATTCGGTTGTGTGTGCGTCTAGGCGAGAAAGGGAGAGAGGGAGAAGGAAAGAATGAAAGAAGAAGAGTGTGGCAAAATGACGGAGCAGGATGGCGCCAGCTCACCCTCGCCGGATTGTCAGGTCGAGGCGCTTTCATCGTGTCGCCTCTCTCGTGCAGGGAGCGAGGCTCCTCACAGGACACGTGAATCTCTGGTGCCTTCGCCGAGATCGTGCCACTCCTCTTGCGCAGGAAGCGAGGCACCACAACGGCACCGTAGGGGGCACTCCTTGCGCAATCCTCCTGGTGCAACACCGAGAGGGGATGATAGGACCGCGGAGTTTGATGACGCGGTAGGAGAGGGGGTGGAAGGTTTCTCGGATAAAAACGGACTTGTGAAGAAATTTGGTGGTTGGGTAAACAATACGTCTTCATTTTATATAGAAAATGATGGAGGCAAAATGAACGCGATTTCAAAGGCAGACAGACATTTTGCCCGTTCCAAAGAGGCGAGTGAAATGGAAATGGCTTTATACCACTCCGTACCCTTTGCGGGTGGATCGTTTACATTGCTGCAAAAGCTACACTATCCTTTTGATGTTCCAGAAACGTTAGTAAATTTGCGTACCAGAAGTTCGGTTCAAGAAGGCGTTGTTGAGAATGCCGAATATGAGGCGACGGGAGAACTTCAAGCTACAAACGGTGTAGAGAATGGTGCCACTCGCAGTGTTGTGAGGAATGATATTGAGACAATAGAAAGCTGCGTCAGCGCAATGACGATGTGCATGATGCCTGACCCAGTTTATGGTGCTCCTGTTCTCGCTCTCTGCGTTGGGGACGCAAATGGTAGAGTGAATTACTCGGAACTGGATGTGTGCCACACGAGGAGCGCACAGTCCCTGTCATTGAATGCACAAAAGAGCAAATCCAACGCTACTATTGGGAGTTCCAGTCAAACGGATCCGGATCTGATTAGTTATGACGCCTCGCTCCCTTCTGATCATTCTTTTCTGTACCATGATAGTGCTGGGTTTCATCGACCACCTCTGCGAAGTCACGGTCACCAGGCGTACGTGCGAGAAATGGACTGCCTTACCTCCGTAACAATCTCCCAGGCCGTCAAGTCTGTTTGTTTCTTGACGACCCAAGATTCCCCACATACTGTGAGCTACCTGACAGCGAATGAGCGTGACATCAAACTGTTTCGGGTTCAGCGCGAGGGTTTCACACCGTTTCACGCTTTTCCTTCCATGGAGGCGGTGGTGGGGAGGCGCCATATTCAGGCACGTTATTTTCCTCCTTTTTCACCCCCCTCTATTATTCTCCCTGTGCGTGTATTTTCTGGGTGCCATTTAAATGTCATACAAGAACTTTGCGTTTGTCCGGATGTTCATTCCTTTCTGAGTGCAGATGACTTGCAGGTTTTCTTGTGGAACTTGGAAAGTTGCGACTTGTCAAAGGGGATGTGCGTCACGGACTGTAGGCCTCTGTCAGGGCGTATGGATGAGTTGGAGGAATTAGTGACTTCCATTGCCTTTAGCCCTAGTCACAGCTCTATTTTCTTGGTCAGTAGGAGCTCTGGATTTCTTGGCATTGGCGATTTGCGCCAGTCAATTTCGGGGTCTCAATGCCAGTATACCACCTCCATTCGCGTTACGGAGGACGCAGCCTTTCCTATTCCCGAGCAATACAGTGACATTCTTTGTAGCATATCTGGGGCAAAATTTTTGGGTCCTCAACATGTTGTCACTCGTGACTATCTTTCATTGAAACTCTGGGATTTGCGTCGACCGGATGTGCCATGCTCTGTTGCGCATGTCATGAGCTATGTGTCACCGTACCTGGATGTTCTTTACGAGAATGACGCCATTTTTGATCGCTTTCCCATTGCGGTGGATCACGTTTCCGGCACCGTCGTTACCGGACTTTATGACGGTGCTGCGGCGGTCTGGCAACCTCTTCATAAGGGCCGTGCGGCTGAAAAAGATCTCTTGGCCTATTACCGTGTTGACCCCCAAGCGTTACTCTGCGAAGTTGAAAATGGGGGTCGCACGAATGTGGAAGAGTTGAGCGCATCCTTGGAGCGGGACTGGAAGACGCCGGCTGCGAGGGGGATTGGTGAGATGCCGTTGCTCAACGTGCTGCCGACACCTGTTGCCAAAAAGGTGACGTGTGCTTCCGTCGCCGATGGGGGGGAGAGGTTTGCTTTGACTTGTAAGGACGGACGGTGTCTTTTTATTTTTGAGCGGAAGGCCTTCTGCGATGCCTTTTAACGTCAGCTCAGCTCCATGGGTCAATGTCGCTGTTTTGCCGTTTTGAATTTTACGTGAGTTATTTAGAGGGATGGCGTTAGCTTTGAATTATAAATTTAACTTTCTCTGTGTGTGGTTTGATGAATTTTTGTTTCTGCATTTTTGTCATGCTTTTTTTTTTTTTCTTTACTTTTGAAGGTGGGACTGTTGGTTGGTGCTTTTTTAAAAGCCTTTCCTTCTCACACACGACAGGGAATAAATCAGGAAAGAAGAAGAGAGAAAAAAAAAAGGGGGAAAGTTCTGGTGGACGAAAGAAACGGGGCCTGCACAAGTTGGGGAAGCATGTTATCTAAAAATGTTGACTACTTTGATGGGCTTCGCACATTCCCTCGTGATGCCAATGCGCTGCGTCACCACAGCGCTCGCCTGAACTACACGCTGCAGAAACGGTACAACATCCCGTCGGAGGTGGCAGATTTGGCGCTCCAGCCACAGAACACGGAGGATTTTGATCATTACTACCGAAAGCAGGTGATGCGCATAATGGCTCACTTCAACGCGATGACACAGAGACAAGTAAAGGTGAAGGTGGATCCTCGTTTGCCGAGGGGGATGCAGATAATCCGCGGCAGCAATGCGACTGTGCCACCAAAGTCTGGGAAGACGGAGAAGACGATGTCAGACTGGCGTGCTGCTGCCGCATCCCCGTCGGCAAAAGTGAACAAAGCCGTCTCGGACCACCACAAGGATTTGGATGGGATGGAGGCAAACCGTATGATAACTCATCTACAGCCAGAGGGGCAGCAGACACCGCAAGGTGTCTCACCGGTTCTTGCAGCGATGATGTGCGGCCACACCGTAACGGACGGGAAGGCCACCGTCTCATCAGACGACCGCTCTACCGTTATTCAATCGTCGACGAAAAAGTCATGTAGGGAAGTCCTTTTTGGCACCCCGCCGGAGTTTAAAGGATTTACTGCGCTGATGGAGGCATCCCCGGCGGATTCCTTGATGAGTAAGTCACCTCTGCTTTTTTGAGACCATATGTGTATTTCAATTTGTTAGAAACAGAAGGAAGGGAAATATATATATGTTTCAGTGGGAAATTAAAATACTGTACTAATATGCGGAGATGTGTTTTTGTTTTATTGAAGGGTGTTATTTGTACGACTGTTTTTTTTTTTTTTTTTTAACAGTAGACGCACTAGAGGGATGACCGCCTTGTGACGGTTTTGTTCACTTAAGGCAACGGTCATTTGTTTTTTGGTTTCATTTGTGTATTCCAATACTCACTGTTTATTATCTGATTTTGTATATATATATATATATATATATATATTTCATCGTTATGAAAGGCCTATTCTTCCTTTGCCTTTTCTTTATCCATCAACAGGCACACACTCTCTTTGTGTGCGCAGTGAGTTCCCCTGATGCGACAGGGGATGAGTATACATGTATACATATTTTTATATGTTATCTCTATTTGCTATTCTTCTGTTTGTGTTTCTCTTTCTATTGCTGCTGCAGCCGCTGCGTGCAAGAAAGATGGGGCTGTTGCTTGAAGATGAGGATTACACACCCCCACTAAAGGCCAATAGGGTAGAAAGTCACACACCACCACCACCACCAACAACAACAACAAAGGTGGCACGAAAAGGGGGAAAAAGGGACGTGAGTCTTTCAGAACATGAAAAGAAGCACGTTTCCGGCAGCTACACCAAGAACAGTGGGGACTTATCTGCCAAAATTGGGATTCGACTCCGTGGTGGAAATGGCATTGAGAAGATGGACGCATTTGCATTTGGTTTGGGTCGATCGCCGGTGACATTTGCCGACGCCTCGCCACTTCGGGTGCGAGGAGGTTCCAGCACTACGGTTTCGCAGGGCTCTCTTAATTTTTCCGACACCCAACGGGATCCACCACCGACGGTCGCGAAATGCGTCATGGCTTCCTCGCAGGACGTTTTAAATACGGCCGAAATCACACCGAATGCCTCGTCGAACTCCACCACGACACAAATGACGTCGTCAACCCCTTTTGACACCTCGGACGGTACAACAGGCTCTGCGGCATCTGGGAACCCCGTGTCACGCTCACTGTTCAGTGATGGGGCTGCGATAAACCCTGACATCACCCTTTCAGCCGTGCAGACGGGGGTTGAGGGTAATGAAGCGGCACCGAAGCCGAAGGTTCAGATGAAGCTTTCAGATTTTTTTAATAGAATGGCATGCACAAAGAAAAGTGATTGAAATGCGGTTGTTTTAACTATTTTTAAATGCTGGACGAATATCTGTTTTTATTTTTGGTGTGCGAACCACCTGCATGGAGATGGGTGCCTGCATTTCTATAGAACGTCACTGAAGCACATAGAACTCCGATCACATTGACAGCAAATCGAATGAAAAAAACGAGAGAAATCAAACGAAAACAATAATTAAAGGGACACATTGCGGAGCTATCGCCTTTTCCGGTTGTCGCTTTGTTTCATATTGCAAAAGAAAGAGAAGCAAGGAGTGAAAAGAAAAAAAGGAAGAGAGAGACGCCTTCCATGAATCTTTTGGGGCTGAGTGCCCCGGTTACACATACATTACTTTTGAAACCTGATTATATATATATATTACTTTATGCGTATGTTTATATATTTTTTATTCGCTGGACTGTGTGGATGTGTTTTTTCGCTGCTTTGTTTGGGGAAGAGACGCCATTAGAGGGGAGCGAGAGTGACGGATCACACCACAGGCTTGCCAAGTCATCTTGATTAGTAGAATGGCCGCCCTTCGCAGCATTCTCTCAAGAAGGGAAGTAAACCAATTCTGTTCAATCGGATCCGAATTACTCAGCGGCCCGCTTTCTCTTTCCCTTGAAAAGTGGGAAGCGGCACTAGAGGCGCTGGAAAAGGCCAAAAATGATTCCTCCATACTTCCTGCCGTGGCATCATTGTCGATTGATTCTGCGAGTACGTCTGTGCGTCACTACCACAATGTCTACTCTAAATGTGTGCGGTTGATGGTGATTCCTCTCCGTCGTTGGCAGCAATGGCGTGAGGGACTGTGTTTTTTCATGGGCGAATCATCCAGGGAAGAGGCAGCACCGCTTGCCACGTTGTGTCGTCAGTGTCTTGTTTCCCAACAAGAATGCTTTGCCGTGGCCTTTTGGGGATGCTGGTCAAGTGTTGTCATCCGTCTGGAGTTGCACATGACGTCTCTTGCTGCTGCTGCGGCATCTGAAGTGGGAGTAGAAAAGAGCGGTGAGAATGGCGATGGGGACGTATCTTTCGAGGAGGGAGAAGAAAAGGACGAGGAGGAGGAAGGAGTCAACACCGAAGATGTTGACTTATCCATTCTTCGTCTCAGGCGCCGTTGCTACTCTGAACTCTACCAATTTCAACGCCTTGCTCATGACGCCGCACATCTCTTTGGCTCTTACGCAATGGTTGGTAGGGCCGAACGCCAGTGGCTCACGGACACATTTCTGCTAGGGCGGGATGAGAAGGCAGCGGAGGCTCTTGTTCGACGCAGTTTTAAACGGGATTTTGGTGTTCCATCCGCTGATCTTGACAGTGGGGTGCTGCTCGATGAGTACCATTCCTTTGAGGTAAATGAAGGCAAGGAAAAGGCGATGGCGAAGCGGGCTCAGGACACTCTCAAGGGGGCGTGGTGTCTTAAGGCTCGTGATCTCTTTGAACACGAGATGAGGGCACAGAACGAGAGACCTTCAAAGGAATGCGGGTCC